GAAGCTCTAAAAGCCTTTCAGAAATAAAAGACATACAGATATAACATCTCTTCATATCGGTCTCTGTCTCCTTTAAAAGTCAACTCATGTAGGTTGAATATATCTACAAGATTTGCTAGAAATGGTCAAGCGTTATGTACTGGAATTTAAAATGTGGTACTATAAAAAATCTATGGATATTTTATTGAAAAAATGGAAAAAATATGTTAAATCTCAGTGATTATTATTAATTATTATTGTCTCATGAGTAGAATGGAAATATTGGAAATTTCTATGTAATATTTTAGTTTTAATCATCTGCTGATGATACTAACATGGTTAGCAAAACGCGCGTCCAGTGTATAAGTAAAATTGTTTTGGTGTATTGTGGTGATTTAGTGTTTTTATTTTGCGTTGCAAATTATATAAAAATATTTAAAAGTAATACCTTGTAAGTAATTATATATTGAGAAACTATGGTTACGCTCGTTGAATTGGACTCTCTTCTTTATGTCAGATTAATAAAATATTTTCGTACTACTTTGGTGCTTTACTTTTGTGCCTAGGCGTTAAAATGACGTTTCTATATTGTCAATTACGTCGCAAAAATTAATACTTTTATGACGTTTGAAAAAAAAACGTGTTTTTTAGTCTAATAAGAAAAGAATGAATGTTGCACATTGACATTTACTGAATTATAACAAGCCATTAACTTGATCCTTCTAAGGTGTATTAAACCATACATTAACGTACAAAGGTTATTAGGTTATACCTCTTTTTAATTATAAAAAAAAACATAATTATATTTAATCTACCCATTATTCATAGACCCTTGGTATAAAGAATAAAAAATACATTTATGAGAACTTAGTTAAAAGAAATTTACAGAACAATGCTCGCATGATTTTAAATTACTTAAAAAAAGTGAATTTTAATATATAATAACTGTGATACATTTATTAGTATGATTAAAACTAAAAATCAAATAAAAACGGTGTCATGGTAGGCGAAGAAACGTGATTTTAGTTCGAGCTTTACTATGTCTATCGCTGCTAACTTATTAAAAATTATTGAAAATAATAAAAAAGGATTTATTTTTTAGAATTTTATATATTTTATGTCAATAGCTTCATAAATTATCATTTCTACGTTTACCCTGACGTCATTTTTTTATTCGAAAACATCAAAATGAACGAAGATGATATATTTGTTATTTTTAATTGTTTAGATATTGCGCAAAACTTTGTTATAATTAAAAATTTCGAAATTTCTGTAATAGAGAAATAAAAATATTACATAAATAATATAGCCTTGTTATGTTGAGGATGTTTCATTGAAAATCCAAAAAGCACTACTACGCTTTTTATTGATTACGTTTATCACCAGTAAAATGCCATAACTGTCGAAAAAAAACGGCGTCAATGATGGCTTGGAAATGAAGATATCTGATTTTGTACCAAGACAACTGGACGCCGCACAGTGCTTCGTCCCATGGACAAAAATCAAAAAATAAGTTAAAATTTACTAATATCTGAATATATAATTCTATACCTATAGCAATGTTCAACCATCCTGTATATTATTTTTCATAAACAGCGTTTTTGTTAGCAAATATTTTCACTAAAAATAAATTTTGCGATCATTATCTTATATCAGTGAAAAGAATAACATTCATAGTAGTTCTGTATATTATGGAGTTAAACGGGTACGTACTTAATTGAAAGCCACTATGGATATTGTTAAACAAGGTATATACTTTAAATTTATTTCTAAACAAGTTCGTGATTGTTTAGTTTTTACTTATTTTTTAAGATGATTCTTAAATGGGTATAAAAATTTTACGTTTTCAAACTTCAAAAAGGCATTTAAAAAAACCATATCAACACATATCGTATTTATTGAATATTTTTGTTGCCACTTTTAATTTTTGTATAGTTCACCTGCGTCTGCTTGCGACGAACTTTATTTTATAATACTTTTCAGATGGAGTAAAATTGATAAGCAATGCCGATCTGGCTAATACTTGGCTTGATCACAAGGACAAGAACTCAAAATTATTTGTATTTCAAAAAATGTGTTCTTTATTAGATACTGATGAACCTTCCAGTCAAATGAGACACCACTTGTGCCTGAAAAAGCCCACTATGTTGGAACGAAACGCCGCATAAAAATTTTCCAACTTTCAATTTATTATAAAACCTCATACCCAAGAAAAGGAAAAAATAATATATGGATATGGTCTATTAAAGAGGTAACTATTAATATCCGAACCCCTCATACCAGCAAGAAGAACAGTAACAACGCCAAAAATTAACTTATTAGAAAATGATGTACAGAAATATCTTATATGTGAGGATACTTCATCTACCTGTGATTTGGATACTATAAATTTGGAAGATTCTGTCAGCAGTGATTCTCCTGAATCAGAGTAGTTACGATCTATGCGTTTTGTTGCCCTAAAGTAAATTTATAGTATCTTAAGTTTTTTTTAATTAAATATAACATTAACATAATGTTTCTTTTTCATTAAAGAAAAACATTTTTATCTTATATTAGGCTTATATTGTAGGAATCATGTTCTAATGTTATTTCAATTCTGTTTTATCACAGGAATTTATTTAATACTTACACCGTTTTCATACTATAACTTATTATTTGCTTAGATGGAACACAGCTCCAACATTATTATTATTTATAAGATTTTTTTTTCATAAACGTGGGACTAAGAACATCATCATTTAGTACAATGAGAGTACTCATCATTTGTGTCAAATAAACCTAGTTTGAATAAATTGCTTACAATAAAAGAGAAGTTTTGGATTTTTGTCCTCTAGAGCCATATGTTTGAAGCACTGTGCCCCGTTTTGATCATAATACGTACTACGACTATATTTTTTTAATGACAAAAAGAAATAAACGTTTTAAAAATTCGTCTAATTTTATTTTTCATTACAAAAACCACTTAGTTGTACCTAAATACTGTGTTAATTAATGGCTATTATAGGAATAACAGAAGAATCCTTGTTCTAGGTTGTAAACAAACAAGTCAATTCACCTTAAAATTGTAGATTTTTAAATGGAATACCCCATGTTTTAAGTTAGGTGGATTTCCCATGATTAAGTTACTCAAAATAACAAAATGTCAAGAGTTGTTTGAGTCTTGATCTAAATTTATTCAAAAAATATTGTTTTTAAGTATACCGCGTGCGTCTCAAAAGTGCCCTATAACTTTTTTATTTTTTCAATTAAAAAAAACGAGATTTGGTATGTTAGTATATGACATAAATTAGGATTGATTGACGTATTCAATTGTTTTTGGTCACTTCCTGTTTCACCGGAAATGACTACAACTTTTGATTTTTAAATGGCACCCTCGGTATTTTTTTACCTTATTCGATAGAAAATTTCACACCTCTACTTTTCAACCAATAACATGCTTTAATGTTAACTAGTTACCATGGCAACTGAAAAAATTTCCGGAAATTTTTTCGAGGCGCCACGAAACTTTAGTGGAAATTTTTTGACAGTTGAAAAGGTAAACATAAGATCTACAATCATAATGTGAATGAACTACAATGTCTATATATTGAAATATTACCCATTTGAGTTTTAGCATTTGATGTAACTAATTAAAAATATAATAATATTTGTTAATATTATTAACAAATTGAAATTATTTTAAAATGTCATGTTGGATTAATATTTTTTTCAAATTTAGGTGTGAAATTTTCTTACCGAATACCACGCAAGCTTAAATTATTCCTGGAAATTTTCTTTCGGGCACGAATATTTTAGGAAAATTATCCCTCGTCTTCGACTCGGGATAATTTTCAAAATATTCGTGCCCTCAAAAAAATTTCCGAAAATAATTTAAGCTCTTGTGATATTATAAGTGAAAATAACACTCTGAATAGAATGACATATCATATGTCAACTTTTGACATTTTCGCATATGGATTATTTGAAATTATAACTTGCGGTTCGTCACGAAAATTTGACTCGAAATACCAACTGTGTGATATCAAATTACTCGTAAAAAAATGCTTTTTTCAAATATGCTAATGAGCCACCCTCATTCCATTTGAAAAAACTGAGATATGATTAAAAACACGATTTGAGCATTTTCTAACTGGCCAGGACAAGACACTAAAACATTAGAGATCTATTTTTCCAAGACTCCTTGATTAAAAATTAGTGTTTTAAACACAGCCATGGCAGTCTAGATTGAAATTAAAAATACGATTTTTTATTAAGCGGGACTGTCAAAAGCTGACATATGATATGTCATTCTATTGAGAGTGTCATTTTCTATAAAATAAAGTAGAAAAATACGGAGGGTGCCATTCAAAAATCAAAAGTTGTAGTAATTTCCGGTGAAACAGGAAGTGACCGCAAACGATTGAATACGTCAATCAATCCTAATTTATGTCATATACTAATATACCAAATCTCGTTTTTTTTATCTGAAAAAATAAGAGTTTTAACTCACCCCCTATATAAGGTGATATAATGTTACTGTTATATTTCCTGATGTTTTTTTTTGTTTAGGAGATATATATACCTACGAATATATACATATTCTCTGTCGGGTACCTTTAAAAGTATCCCTCTGTATATCACTTGACACTGCCTATTTTTTAAGAACCCATTATTCTAACATTTCTTTGACATATCATCCAAAGAAGTTTTTTTGTCAATTTATAGTAAATGAACGTTTAGGGATTGACCGCTCCAAAATTATTATCGATTGTCATTATTCCCTAACCGTCTTCGACGCCCTTTTTTTCTTTCGATCATACGGTATAAAAATCGTAATATTCTCAAAAATTATGTTGATAAAAACCTTGATTATGATTGTTTTAAATTAAAATCACCGAAACTAAATGTTTTTTATATAAAATAATAACAGAAAATACAAAAAAAAAATAATATACTGTCACATCAGAAGAAAAAATATTATTTTTTTCTAAATATTATTATTATTTTATTAAATTTTATATTGTATTTTTTTTAATACTTACAGTGGTACGTAGGTATGTAGGGTGCTGTTGGGGGAACACCCCCAACTGCCTGTGCGTATGTAGGGGGCGCTGCGGGTGGTGGCCCGTAAGGGGGTGGCATTGACGATCCTTTACTCATTTTTCTTCAGTATTTTTCAAAAACAAACTTTTATTTATCTCCAAATAAACCAAAACGAACCTCAAGACTATTTTCCCTTTAAATTTTAAAGAGATCTCCCTTAAGATTTTTAAAAACCACTCAAAAAAATTAATAAAAACCCGCACTTTTCACGATATCTTTTTTTTTGTTGTTGTTCTTGAGTCTTTTAAATTAAATTTATAAAAAAGAGAAAAAACAAACGAAGGTCTGTGGAGATCTTGACCAATCAACGCGAACAACAGCCTGCTTGAAACTAAAAGCATGGAACGGGCTACGACGCTCGTTTGTTTCGCCACCGTACGTTCTAAATCTGGTAGGCCGAGGTCACACTTTTCATATATACCAGCCTATACTAAGGCGGCGCTGAAAAAACTTATAGGTGCCGTCGGTATATTGGGAGTGGGCATTTGTCGTGAAAAATCGAAGAAAATTGACTCTATAAAGATGAAAAACCCTTTCCCAATTAGTTGATTCAAAAGATTTTCCATTATATCGTTTAATATACGATATAAAAAAAAATTGGAGCCGGGAGGCCCGTATAGCCGCCCATTCTAAAATATGTTCTTTTAGTTTCAAAGTAAAGGAATTTTCAAATTTTTTTTCTCTCAAAAACTGCGACTTTGACTGATTTTGATGTTATAACAAATTTTGTTGCAAATATTATTCCTAATCTTAATTTGAAAACCGCGTTTCGCTAGCTACTGTAATTTTGGAGTTACGATTTTTTTAAATGTTTAACCCCCTACCATACCCCCTTACCAACCCCCACCCACCCCCCATGCTGCCGATGTTTCCGGAATGCAGGTCAGACCACCCTGTATAAAGGGGTGATTCTTGGATCTATTCTATTTAAAAAAAAATTCTCTAGGTTGCTCCCATTTTTTTTTGCTATACGCAAAAAAACGCCAATCAGAGATTCTAGGCATATTTTATGTAGATTTTGGCCTTTGCAAAATCCGGCTTATCCCAAAAAGGTTGTTTCGAGATGTTATCAAAAACTGTTTTAGCAAATGCTTGAAGCGTCCTTTTTTTCAATGAACGTGTCCATTGAGTGGAATCATTGTTTTGTATATCGTTTTTCTAGAAATAAAAATTAATATTTAATTTTTAAAGAGAAAAAAAAACAAAAATAATTAGGATAAGGCGGGTTTTGTTGTAGTATCATGCATATTACGGGTTTTGCTACACAGCTTTTTTGGAATTTGATATCTATAGGAAAAATACGACCACACGCAGATATATTCCTAATGAATCACATCATAGTGTTGAACATAAAATGGCTAGTTTAAATTTCTTAGTTCATAGATTACTTAATTTCCCACTTTCCAACGAAAGATATGAAATAGAAAGAGATTACATTAGGAATGTAGCTGAGTGTAATGGATATTCTCCTTCACTAGTTGATAAATTAATTCGAAAACGTAGGTATAGGTTAATGATTTCTGAAAATTCGACTTTTCAAGTGAAGAAAGATACGTCTAAATATTTTTCGATACCCTTTGATAGAGAGTTATCCCGTGGTCTAAAAGGAATTTTTAAGAGTGTCAATTATAAACTAGTGTATAGTGCTAATAATAAATTACAACAATTATTAGGTAATCCAAAGGATAAAACACCTCCACTGGAAAGGTCGGGTATTTATGAAATTTCTTATAAAGATTGTAATCAGAAATATGTTGGGCAAACTAGAAGATCAATATTAACTAGATTTAAAGAACATTTAGCTCAGATAAGATATGGTAGACCGGATAAATCTTGCGTTGCCGAACATATTGTTGATAAAGAACATTGTATAGATCTTAATAATTTAAAATTAATTAAACAAGTCTCAAATTACAGGCAATTAGATGCATATGAAAGCATCAGAATTAATAAATGTAAAGATAGTATGAACAGAGACAACGATCCAATTCCTTCAAGTTCTTTGTTCCTACTACTCTAGTGGCGGAAATCTAACTGTTACGCTCAGTGGGCTCTGACTGAGTATATAAACGCTCAACTTGTACATTGTACTTTAGTTTATAATCATCTGCTGATGATGCTAACATGGTTAGCGAAACGCGCGTCCAGTGTAAAAGTAAAAGTGTTTTGGTGTATTGTGGTGATTTAGTGTTTTTATTTTGCTACAGCAAGATATTTGCATCCTAACTTGATTTATTAAGGTGCGTTCACTTAGGCTGCGCCGCGCATATCATTTTTTAGCATATACTTTTGTGCGCGCTAAAAAAATACACTTAAACACATGTTAAAAAAATGTTTTTGAAACACATGTTAAAAAAGATATTTGCATCCTAACTTGATTTATTAAGGTGCGTTCACTTAGGCTGCGCCGCGCATATCATTTTTTAGCATATACTTTTGTGCGCGCTAAAAAAATACACTTAAACACATGTTAAAAAAATGTTTTGCGCGGCGCGGCGTGTAGCGGCGCAGCCTGAATGAACGCACCTTTAGGTATACTATTTTATTAAAACTAAGTAAGAATCTGAAATGGATAAGACGTGAGTAGTAATATTATACTTGTGTAAAAAGCCTCTAAAAATGCAAAAAATTACAAAAATGACAATAAAAAGCAAATATAAGTGAATAAAACGGATTTTTTGCTGTAGTAACGTAATTTTTAGTGCATTTTATATAGGAATAGACTTTTGTTGCAGTTTGGGACTATGTTTATGTAGATTTCAGGATCCACTATTAATATATGTCATCAGGCCATTTTTTTTTTCTTAATAATGGATAAGGTGGGTTTTCCAACTTGAAATTAATAGTTATATGGTAAAAACAAGTAAATTTTTATGATATAAGCTTCAATAAGTAACGGTACCAGACTTATAAGTAGTACCAGTACCAATGGGTACTTTCGCTGTGAAAGTTTTGTGCATCGTCTGACGTCTGATATTTATTTATCTACAATTTCTTAATTATCAATTTTTTAAGTTAATTGAACATCAGTTTTGAAAAAGTTATAATAGTTATTTTTAATTACAAATTTTATGGTTTAAGACCAGGTATTTTCATTGAAAAAAAAATGGTTTAATTCAAATAAAAAAGTTAATTTTATTGATATTATTAAAATCAACTGAAAATTAATATTCATATTGACATTTCCAATATTCAATAAAAAAATATAAATCACATTTAAATAAATTATTTCACAAATTACAAGGAAATAATTACCCAAAGCAAATACAGAATTTCTAAAAAAAGAAATAAAATTTTCTAATATAAACAAGGTTTGTAATATTTGTTCTAATTGATTAAAACACCTTTTAATGCCTTATAATTGTTATAATAGCCAGGCAAACAATATTTTACGCCTGTTTTTTCAAAGAAAAATCTTTTTATTTGAACACACTACAGAGGCAAGAACGAAGGTCCATCTTGCACACTATTCATGTAAATAAACATAAAAATGTCATACGCCTGTCTTTTAATTATAGTATAGTCCTACACACGAGCCCAGAACGTGGGTAATGGCCTTTTAATAGAAAAAATACACACCTGTAAAGATCCAAGAATTCTTACGTTGAATTTCTTAAAATTCGTAGCCTAGCGCATTCGCCATTATATGAACATAAAGTTAAAAATCGGTCATTCGGTGTAGTTTACCTACTTTCGTGACGGCTATTTTTAGCAATCGACGTTTTTAAAGATTACTTCCAACGGAAAAGGGTGTAGTCGACCTACATAATGGGCACAAACAGAAATAAATCTGGCCTTACCCGACAAAACACGATATACCGTGTGATGAAAAAGTGTCCTGCAAAATTTGAAAGAAAGACTAACAAAAATTACCTTGAGTTTCTTCAGTTATCACTATACAAACACTACTAAAAATTTGCTTGAAATAAAAATCTTTTATAAAAAAATTCACAATTTTTTTTATTACGTCTTATTTCCTAGATTTTTTTACAAAAAAATAATTAAAATTGTTGTATTGACAAGCATAAACAATATTTGCTTTGGCAATTGATTCAAAATTGAAAACTGACAAAATAATACAATTAAATGTCAATGTAATTCCTAACTTTTGAAGAATTCAGTGAATTCATTTTTATGTAAAAAACATATTAGAAAAATTTTCCTCGTTACCCTGACAATTTTTTAAAAATTTTATTGCTATAATTTTGGACCATGTAAACATAATTTAAAATTAATTAAATAATAGATTAGTTTGGTTTTTTGGGTAACCAAACCTTGTCACAGTATTCAAAAAAACATCACAATGAATAATTCAGAGCCAAAATGAATCCTTCTCAAGTACATAGCTATATAGAAAATTATAAACATCGTCTCAAATCGATTAAAATCTACACAACCACACTAAGTCCTGGTGTGCCGATTCCTATGTTGCCCTCCCCTTGACCCCCGCTGTCTTTTAGCATCGCTAGAGCTATTACTTGCTGTACTAGGAGCACTGGTCACTCTAGGTATATTATTTGTGCTGTTAGCTGCGTTTTTAACTGGTCCTAAAGTATTGTTGTGTTGTAGTGATGTACTGCTTGTCGTTACAGGTATTCCTGACCCCGCCTGTTGTCCTGATGGCCCCACTCTTCCAGCTCCATTATTCGTACCATTGTTCAAAGGTAAATTGTTCGCTGTAGACACTCCTGTAGGAATTGGTGAGAACAAATTCGGTTCGGAGACGTTGTGTTGTTCGTTAAAAACCATACAAAACTCTCCTATCTTCTGTAATTCACCTCCTTTTGCCGTATACAATGTTAAACAGTTTCTCCAGATTGAAACGTAACCTTTAGTCAAACGAACAATATCTCCTGGCATCAGTAATGTTCCTGCCTCGTCCCAAATACTGGCGTTTATACAGGCTGTCCCGTCTGCTACTTTAACTGTTCTTACCTCACGATTCTCTTTGGTTACTGTAGGAAGTCCAACTTCGAGCACTATAAATACTGCGTTTATGTTCTTAAGACCCGGACGCATATCCTTGATAGCGACGTAATTGGTCTCCATCGTATTTAAATATTATTTAAAGAAACTACATAAATAATAAATTTAAAGAGTTAAAATTTTTGAAGGTTACTTAAGATCTAACCTTAAAAACCTGTCGTATTTGCGTCGTTCAAGAAACCCTTTTTGTACCTGGATTTAAAAGGGGTTCTTAACTTAAACTGGTCAAGAGTCTTCTAAAATTGTTACTGATATTGTTAAGCATAGTTTTAATGCTTGAAAATACATTAAAATTATTAAAAAGACAATTTTTCTTTGTCCTCAAAAATCACACCCTGTAAAATAAATTGTTGAACAAAAATCCAATAGATGGCGCAAGGCGCAATAAGAAAAAAAAGACATTTTAAATACTAGAAATCCTAAAAAGTAAAATCTTTCAAATCTGACAGCCTATGCTGACAGCTATACATAACCTATCTTATCGCAAACCACAGATTTGATAAAAATCCACATAATAATCAGAGAAAAATACTTTTTAATTTATTTAAATCAGTTTTAATCACTTTATTTGTTCACTCGAACATAAAATGAGTTCGTCAGAAGTTCCTCCGGGACCCCTCCCAAAACTTTTCGAGTAAGTACCGCAAAATCATTTAAAAAACACTTTTATTATTTGGATAATTTAACTTTAGATACGTGGATTCTAAAAAGCCTGAATACATAGAACTTTTAAAAGAAATTGTAGCTATTCAGTCGGTCTCAGCCTGGCCCCACAAGAGACAGGAAATTTTCAAAGTAGTGCAATATGTCGATGAGAAACTAAAAAGTCTTGGAGCTGTAACTGAACAAAGAAAAAATGGTAGAATGTTTTAAAAATCGTCAAATTATTAATTACAATTACATATTATAGGAAAACAAACATTACCTGATGGTAAAGAGATAGATTTACCGCCAGTGCTTTTGGGACAGTTGGGCTCAGATCCAAAGAAAAAAACTGTCCTAATTTATGGACATTTGGATGTACAACCTGCACATTTATCGGATGGTTGGGACAGTGAACCTTTTGAGTTGACTGAAAGGAATGAGAAACTTTATGGAAGAGGATCATCAGATGATAAAGGCATTTTTAATTTAAAAATTTACAGGTTAGAGTTGAATTGTAACTGTTTAATTTAATTTTAGGCCCTGTATTGTGCTGGATTCACGCAATAAATGCTTTTAAAGCTATAGGAGAGGATCTACCAGTTAATTTGAAGTTTGTGTTTGAAGGTAAGTACTGTAAATTATTTTGTATATATTTTTTAACACAAATATATATGATATGAAGCATTTTATAAAACTGTGCCACTTTGGATATATTATAAATGAGTTTTAAATGTGTATTTCTTAAATAGGCATGGAAGAATGTGGTAGTGAGGGTCTAGAAGATATCTTGCATTCAGAAAAAGACAAATTTCTGGCTTCTGTTGACTATGTTTGCATTTCTGACAATTACTGGCTTGGAACCACTAAACCATGCATTACTTATGGTCTGAGAGGCATTTCTTACTTCTTTGTTGAAGTTGTTGGTGCTGGCCAAGACTTGCACAGCGGAATATACGGTGGTACCGTTCATGAAGCTTTGGTCGACTTGGTCTATCTTCTTGACCGTTTGGTGGATAAAAACGGAAAAATTTTGGTGGATGGGATTTATGATGATGTGGCTCCTGTTGCTGGTAAGCTATAGTGCCTAATGCCTTATGAGACTTATTCAAGGTCATAAAATTTTGCGACGCATACTTCAAAGGGGACTGTCGCCTCTGTATGCGTCTATACAGGGTGAAAAAAAAAGTTATTACGCAAATTTTCAACCTTATATTTTTTATAGACGGTGAAAACGAAATTTATGCTAAAATCGATTTCGATCCCGAGGAGTACAGGAAAAGCATTGCCTGTGATCGATTGCCTCACGATGGCGTCAAAGAAAAACTCCTAATGCACCGTTGGAGATACCCCAGTTTATCTCTGCATGGAGTCGGTGAGTTTCCGTTCAGTTCCCAGAGTTTCCGCTGAATAAAACGTTGTTGTTTCGTAGAGGGCGCATTTAGCGAGCCTGGCGGCAAAACTGTGATTCCCGGTAAGGTTACTGGTAAGTTTTCGATTCGCTTGGTACCCAATCAGGATCCTGGAAAAATTGAGGACTTGGTGGAGAAATATTTGGAGCGTTTGTGGAAGGAACGCGGTAGTCCAAACCATTTCAGGGTAAGTTTTATTTATATACAGTAAAATTCACTTATAACGTACACTTCCAGTGGCGTGCGGTAAAGTTTTTGAAGGTATATAATAAAAAAGCCATTTAACGACTCATACTTTTCATAAGACCACGCGTGAAACGAAGAATTGTGTAATTGAAACAATAGTTCTGATATACAGGGTGGTCCGAACTGTATTCCGGAAACTTCGGCAGCATATTCTGCAGATAAAAATACGTAAAAAATTCGTATAAATGCATGTCCTAAAATGCTTAGTTTCGGAGATACAGGGTGTAGAAGTTTCATTTTTATTTCGATTATATTTATAACGCTTTCTTTAAATATATACTTTCTGAAGTAACGTCAATATTTAGATGAATATAATGGTTATAAAGTTTTACCGTATTATACAGTATTACTTTTTGGCGCACACTATATTTTTTTTTTTCGTTATGTCCAACAGGTTTATACCTCTGAGGGGGCGAAGCCCTGGACAGAACAACCTTCCCATCCACACTACCAAGCGGCTATTAAGGCTACCAAGCATGTGTACCACGTTGAACCAGATCTGACACGTGAAGGTACAACTTTTTGGAATATTTTTCAAAGAAAAAATTTTTTTTTCGTGTTTTTCTAGGTGGTTCCATTCCTATTACGTTAACTTTCCAAGAAACTACAGGAAAGAATGTTTTGTTGCTCCCTGTAGGTGCTGGTGACGATGGAGCGCATTCCCAGAACGAGAAATTGAATATTAGAAATTATTTAGGAGGGGTTAGTTAAAATATTATTTTTATTTTATTTTTTGAACGCATATTTTTTTATTTATTTCAGGTGAAATTATTGGCTTCTTATTTGTATGAAGTTTCGCAACTTTGAAGATTGTATTTTTGATATTTTTTAAACCATATTATTTTGTATTATTCTTTTCTTAAAGAGATTATATAAAAAAAATATTAAAGAAATACTTCTAATAAATATATATTTTTACTCTGGTATTTCAGTTTTTTCTTATTAAATTACCCTCTGACTTTACTACTTTTAGTAGTAAGTACCATACCATCGAAAAAAAAACGGCGTCAAAGACGGCTGCGAATGGTGATCGTTGATAATTTTAGCGAGGTCAACCCTTAGACGTAATTTGCTTGGCACATTCCTCAGCCGTCTTTGACGCCGTTTTTTTTTTTTTCATCATACAGAATAATAGTGTCACTAAGGTTTGTTCGACGAGGGGACACATGACAGTGACAGTATCTGTCATTTTCGTTCGCAGGTAAATTATGTTTTCTGTCATTTCTTTGGATGTCATCTGTCGAAAAATTTTTCATGGCTCGTTAGATAGACCCAGGGGGGTGGCAGTGAAATAGGAAAATTGGAAACAGTCATTAGTGTCATTCTTGTCATTCTCCTCATGACAAGTATGGCCGCCTAGACAAGGACAGCATTGTTTTTGTCTAACTATTGTCTAACTTTACAGTTTAGAATTGACAGATTTCAGTTTCAGAGACAACTTCAGATTTGTTCTAGAACAAATTCGAAAATATTCGACGCCATTTTAATTCATTCCGTTTAGTTTCGTTTTGGAAGTTCAATTTAATATTTCGGCTGAAATTTATAAATATAAAGGTAATAAAGTATATAAAATACATATTACATGAAGAATCCTGGAGAAAGTGACGTTTCTGCAGTAGTAGGTATGTCCCATGTATATGAAAAATAGGTAGTAAATACACACTGTTTTTACATTTTTTAGATGCAAGAAAATGGTGTTATAATCTCTTTGATCGGCGATTTTTTTGAAAATGGAAACAATTTACAGCAAGGTAAGATCATTTTTAACTATTGCCAACATTAGTTATCTCCAGTATGTGCGATTTATTGTCAATAATGCAATAAATCGGACTGATAATTTGATTATATTATCCGACTAAAAGTCTCTTTTTGCTTCTTTTTGATTTATAAGCCAGGTCTCTTTGGGAATAATGGACGCTTTTTTAAACAGTATATTTATATTTTATACCTATTGATATTTTTACATTGCTAATTTTAGTATAAAAAAATTTGTTTTTCTGTTTTCAGGTTTTTGTATAAGGCTCCCGTTTTCATGTTCCTGTGTCCGTTTTCTGTTCTTGAAGTCTGCGAATACGCGTGTTTATTTACAAATTACTGTAAGTCATGCTTATACCTTAACTAATTTACGTTAAAAGTACATATAATTAACTAATTGGTATTGAAACAATACAATCCTCTATATTTTTATATTTATTTAGTCACGTTGTTCCATATTTCAAATAAATATATGTGAATAAATTATTTTTGGTTTTATTTATGAAAAATACAAAATACATTTGAACTGAAAGAGGGCCCGCCATTGAATAACCGGAAACGGAAATGAAAATTAAGCCATCATGTCCTTATCATGTCAACCTGTCAATTGGAAAATTAGTTCTCCAGACGACAACGAAGGCTTTCGGTGGCGTATCGTGTTTCCACGATTTAACACAGAGTTGACACTTCTTTCTAGTTAATTATTTTATGGATAGACCCTTAGGTATTTTTACTCAGTCAATTTTTTAAAAGAAATACACTAATAAAAATACTTATATTAATATTTTTTAAATGTTGTAGAATTTGGTTTTTTATATAGTAGGTACATAAATTTATCAGAGTTTATTTTTTAAATTTAATCTGATTACGCTTATGAATTACCCTCTGTATACAGGGTGGTCCAAACTGTATTCCGGAAACTTCGGCAGCATAATCTTCATAATAAAAATAAGAAAAAAAGTTCGTATAAATGTATGTCCTAAAATGCTTAGTTTCGGAGATACAGGGTGTAGAAATTGTGTAATTTCTGAAGTAATGTCAATATTTGGTTGAAAATTTGTGCCTGGGAGTTTTTTGACATGAGAAATTTGATTTTGATATTAATATCACTCTTACTTTAAGAGGGCGCCACCTACATATGTTTTAACTATTTTGAAGAGTAATAACTTTTTGTCCGTACCTGTATAAAACTCCTGAGTAAAAAATATACATTTACGAGGTTTTTTACGTAAAAAATTTAGAGAATAATGGTTCTCGAGATATTTGGAATCGAAATTATCAATACCTGTCATCATTGACATAAATTAAACATGTTAACTAAATAGTTATTAGACTGAAATCATAAATTTAAAATTTTTTTGTGCCAAAAGTTCAACAAAAACAATCAATAATGACATGTAGGAAAAATCGAAATAAAAATGAAATTTCTACACCCTGTACGAAACTATACGAACTTTTTTACTTATTATCTGCAGAATATGCTGCCGAAGTTTCCGGAATACTGTTCGGACCACCCTGTATATTGAAATACATTTGAAAAGTGATATGAAAATCAAACAATAAAATCTACTGCAATATAGCAGAGACGTCCTTGTAAAGATAAATGTTTCTAGACATGTATTATGTTATTATTAAACAGAAAAAATAATATTTATTTAACGGCTTAAAATGAATGTCTTCATTTCGTTAGTTTGAGAGTTCTAAACAATTAAATACAGAGGGTTCAAGTAAAATGTATTTAGAAGAGAAAAAAATTAAGGATATATTTTAAAAATCCTACTGATTCAAAGCATTACTTTTCAGAAAATTTAGTTATTTTTAAGCTACCCTGTATACGAAACAACATACTTAAATTTTTACATTTTTTTAACAGTTTTATGTCTTTAGAAAAACTTAGAATCATATTTTTTTCCAATATCTGTCTAAATATTTTTTCAGCATACTGTATAATAACAACTAATAAATATTTTACTATGTAAATCGAGTTTTATATAGACAAAATGCCGATAAAAAACAGAAGAATTTTTTAATTAACTAACCCTGTACATATTTAGAATATCAGTGAGTCCTAATAATGTTGTAATAGTTTGTATATGTCTTTTTATTTCATCTTAACTGGCAGTACCATAAAGAATAATCGCGATACGATGAGAGGAAAGCTGTCATAATGCCATTTTTTTAAGGAAAGCAGTACAAGGTTTCCCATATACAGGGTGATTTAATAGAATTACTAGGTGGCATACTACCAAGTACCAAGGGATAGAAGGCAATGAAAAAGAAAACGTAACTCGGGAAGAGACGACAACCATTCGCGCCATAAAGTTTGGCATAAAGCTCTGTATAACCGTCTCAGATACTGGCTTTTGTCAAAACACCCTGAGGATGTCAATAAAACTCAAGAAAGGGGGACACTCCCATACTCTCCTGTATACTAAGGGCTGGCAAAGGTTAGTCATGGGTCGAGATTTCCGTATGTAAGAGGAGTACAATGCGTTTATAATGTACTGAACAAAGAGAGGACAGTAAACACGTTGCCAAACGTATGAAATAAACCGAGAAACTGCGCACATCGCTAAGAGACGTGGAAGGGGATATAGCAGATTTGTCGCAGTTGACCGGTCGACCCAATCAATACCTCTGTCAGTACTTAAAGTTCTAGGGAAAGGTGTACGTCATGCGTTCAGCTTCACGATTTAATTACGTCTCGTGATACTTAATTTGTATGATACCCTGACAATATCCTTATAATTCCATTTCAGATGCTCAGAAACATGTCTAACGATTTTATCTACTTATCTCTTGAAAAAAAGTCTTTTAAAAATAAGCGGTTTGCGATCGTGATTTTACTTTACTTGATAGGGAAAGGCGTATCGGCAACGTCGCAACAGCACACCGCCGCGCGTCGCGTCAGTCGGTCGCATTTCTCTCACTCCGACTTTATAAGATCCCTATGCGATTTACTTCCACACATGTTAATGCCGACCCAAAAGTAACAGTTGCCAGCACGGTATATTCTACACCACACTTTTGAAATTTTCTAATCATTCTGTGTAGATTTTACTCCAAAAATGATACGTTTAAGTAAAATTACATCATTTTACAGGATTTTTCAAAGGAGATGAGTCTATTTCAGTTATTTTAAAGATATTTTAAAAATAGATTTGTTTTTATTGAAAATTAATTTTAAAAATATACTATAATAACAAACAATGATAACAACAATAACCTCAGACCATAGATATTTTAATATCTACTAATAATTAAATATTTTTGAGGTTCCAGTAAACAATTAACCAGTAAACATATTGTAACTTTTACCAAATATTTTTCTAAAAAGCTTTTACCAAACAAATTTTAAAATATTTTAAGCATGAAATATTTGTTGTCTTAAAAATATACATTATAAACAAATATAAAATAATTTATTTAAAAGAAAATATATGGTTATATTTTGAGCCATCCTGTATATTTTATAATGCAAACACGCACATTTTACTTAAATACGAAAATTAAACAAAAATATAATAATTATAATGAGATACTATATTAGGATGTCCTTGCATTTGATAAATCTAGCTGGATTTTTATCATTACCTATGTTATATTTTTAGCAGAAAAAAATTATACAATTTTCTTAAAATATTTGAAGTACCATAGAGGGTGTCACAAAAAGTGTAACTACTGGGTGATTCTACAGATAAAAATAAAACAAAAAGTTCCTATGAACATATGCCCCAAAATCCTTCCAGAATAATTTCGCAATTGCCAATTATGCTTATAACTTTGATTTTTAAAACTTTACTTTTGTTGCGTAAATGCCAATGAACTTTAATTATTTTATACTTCCTTTCAATCGAATTATTAATTTACGAAATATATTAATATTAAATATGTTATTTTATATATCGAATAATTCCATCCTTGACAATATATACAATAATCTCAACAAATAACATAAAAAGCTAGAACCTTTTTACACACACCCAGTATATCTTTAGTTTTGCGAATTTCAAAATGCATAACTTATTTTTTTTTCTCTCATATAGAAGTATAAAACACATATTTTTTTGTAAATTTATTTACCTATACCGTAGCTAGATATTCTGTGCCTATACTCATTTTTTTATAAAAAAATCTGAATATTTTCTGACGCACCCTGTATAAAAGCTTCAAAACAAACGGTATATTTAAAAAAATCACGCATCATTTAAATAACAAAATTGAACAAAATCAAATCATTGTAATAGAACACTTCGTTTGTCCTTGTTGGATAAATTTGACTAAACGTGTATTATTATTATTATTCTGTTATAATTGAGTAAAAAAATATTGAAAAATTTACGGAAAACTTTGACATTTTTTTTATTTGTCACTTTGAATACGGTTGAATAGATTTTTTAAAAGAAAGTAACAAAGAAAAATTATTTTGTGTGTATACACTCAAAAAGCTTACTGATCTAGCGCACTGGAGGGGTTAACAAATGATTTTGTAGTGCTTCCTTAAATCCTGTTTTCGATTTTATTAGAAGTGTTCAGTTTTGTGTAGACGTTCAATATAGTGAGACCGGCAACATAGAATAATTATTTTTAAGTATATCAATAGCAGTAAGTAATTTACATATAACATTATCATCAGCGATAATTTGAATATAAAATTTTTTATATCAAACTGTAATAATGTATTAATTCTGTTTCATATATTTACATTTAATATTTTAGACCTCCCTGATCTGTAAAATGTCTGTAGATTTGGAAAAAAGAAGAAATTGTATACCAATTTTGTACACGAAAGGCACTCATTATGATGTTGGATACGATATGGTCAGTACATATTTTTTTCTACAAATAAAAAATAATAATGATGTCTTTCTGATTTCTAATATTGTCTGTGAGTAAATATAAAGGTCGTATATAAGAGATAAGATAATATTATTTATGTTATTTAGAACAGAAACAATCAGTAGATCCAAAAAACTTTTTTTAAATTATTCTTTCTTTATTTTTATTATTTATAAATTGAAAATTTTGTTGTTATTATCGTCATCTCATTACCAAGGATGTTGAACTTAAATGTTTAAATAGTAGATATAAATACAATAAGGCATACTATGTACTTGTATATGCTGTTCGTCACATGATTGAATTGTTTTTTAAAACAATTAGTGTCAAAATAATGAAAAATTGTTATAAAAGACCTTGTTTAGTATTTCGTACAATAGATATGGTTACTATATTTTGTACTTTATATTCAAGGGTCGATATTTTTACCCTTGGTATACCTAGAAAGACTAATCGATAAAATCTAGGTTTAATAATAGCATATACAGGGTACATCGAAAGTATTCGGTTTTTAAGAATTACAGTGTAGTATTTTTTGTCTTGTAATATAGTAAGTTTTTGAAATTTTTTGAATTCACAGAACAAAATTGTACAAGAAGTGCCAGTTTAATGTTTGACAGCGCCACTCAGTTGTCGTCTGGTGAACTAATTTAATAAGTGACAGTTTTCAGTAGGTATTGTTAAATACAGTTTTCTTTTTTTTTCTACGAAAATTTGAGCGCGTTATTTGAATATGAGATTTAACACTACACCATAAAACATGAACAAAGAAAGTTTTTTACACTAACGCACACCTTCAAAAAGTTCTCAACTACTCTGTTTATAAATTATAACGAAATATCTACGATATTTGGTAAAATTATGTGGAAAAACTTCTAAAATAAAAGAAAAATATCTATATTCCAGGGTCGTAATTTTTCTGGAGTGATCAAAAACTTCCTGGAAATAGCTGAGTCCCTTCCAGAGTATCTGGATGCCTACGGTACTCCCCAAGGAAGAAAAGGATACGAAGACACCTTAAATAGCGTGAAAAATAGCTTTCCTCAATATGTCAGAGAGCTAGAAGGAGTTGCAGACGGTGCAGCAGTACCTTTTCATCAAGTAAGTATACTGTATAGAGTAATATAAAAATGTAAGAGGTAAATCTATTTTTATTTTTAATTCATTATATTATTTTTTAACCAGTGACGGTATTTTTTAGTTGTTCTTGCTCCATATGGACAACGTCATACTCTCAGCAGCCAATAAGAACACCATCAATTATCCTACCGGGTGTTCGACGATTTGTGTCAATCAAAAAGGAAACGTGAGTATACTTTAGGAATTCTATTTTAAAAATAAACAGTTGTAAATAGATTTTACTTAAAAAAGTCTTTATTAATATATCTGAATAGTTATGAAATTTTTCTAATTTGTTTTGTCTGGGTTTTCCGAATCATCTTAATGCAATTTAGTAAAAATATTCGTGTGCGTGCATGTTGTTCGGTAATTATGAGTTTTCAAAGGAGGAAAAAATAGCTGGAAAAGAAAAAAAATAGGTACAGTAATAAGGAACTTGACTAATCAAATTAAATTGGCTTCAGTGCATAAGCCAATTAAATGGAAGAAAAAAAAGTAACGCATAGCCTGGAATAGGATATCTTGTGGCGTATGTTCGATTACCATATACAGGGTGAAAAAATAAACAAAAAATATAATATTCGACTCATATACTTATAAAAAATATAATAGATAAAATATATGTACCTTTATATATATGTATATGTCTATATATTCTTGTATTTTTATTAAGAGACTTAGGAGAAATTTGACGTTGTCAGTGATGAAAAAAAAACATTATTTATTTTAATATATTTACTAAATCTCTATACTAAATAATTTTAATATTTTCCTTGATTCTACTAAAGATTACATTATTAATACTAAAATCGATGCAGTTTTTTTAAATCTAATAAAGGATATTCACCCTGTATGATCAGAACACAAAATCTGTAACATTAGAATCCATATAGGCAACAAATTGCTTATTCTTATATGAAGGTTATCCATATAGGTTTTGTATTTAATCAGCATACTTTAAAACTTAATTTTTTTTATTAAAATTCAGTGGTATTGAATATCACAAGTTAAAAAATCTGCGGCACTGGTTGGGATTTTTCAAAAGCCATATGGGCGTGGTAATAGTGAGGAATTAAAAAAATAATTATTAAAAAAATCTTATAGGTTAATTAAGTCTGTGCTAGCTGTACTTTTTTTGCTTACTTACTTAGTAGACTCTATATTGTATAATTTATGGTATTTCTTTGTGTAAAACTGATAAAATATTGTGATAATAGTCGATATTTCTCTACGCTTCAAGGTGCGGTAAGCAAGCCTGTAACAAGGGTTGTTTAATAAGTTTTTTTGCTTGTGAATATTCGTAATAATCACCAGATCTAATTTTAAGTGATTTTTTTTGTTTCTATTAATCCTTTTAATATTTTATAATTATTTAATGTTATAAAACATAAATTAATTGTCAAAATTTCTGATAATTTTAGGAGTTTCTGGGACATACAGAAGATGCTCTTGGTTCAACGCTGAACCACTACTATTTCGTGAGTGCTCATATTATTTCTGATGAGCCTCAAGGCAAATGGCGTGTTAAAGAGGAAAAATTCACCTCCCTGTGTTACGCTGGACACCTTCCAGGGTACACCATGAGCTACAACCATCATGGTCTAGTGTTTTCCATCAACACTTTGAGCGCCAAAAATTTAAAACCTGGAAAAATACGTAAGAAGTCTTTATCTTATTTAATTGTGTCTTTTTATATTTCCTTCGTTGATGTTATACTTATATATAATTTTCTTTTTATACTTATATAGATTCTTTCATGATTTTAGCACGTCACTTCATTACAAGAGCTCTTCTGAGCGCCAGCACGTTCGAGCAGGCTCAGAAAATTCTCAGAGACTCTGGATGCGGAGCCGCTGACGGATGTTCCGTTAATATGACGTTTCTGAACCAGGAAGGCGACCGTCTCTTTCATAACGTTGAAATGGCTCCCTGTATTGATAAAGAGTGTGAATCCAGGCTTAACATTCTTACAATAAGTCCAGGAGAAACCTTATTTCATACAAATTCGTAAAAAATATATTTTAAAGTGTTTTTTTTTGTGTTTGAATGCTTGTTTTTTCAGGTATTTGCGATCAGAAGAGGAACAGAGTAACGAGAGTATGTTGGAGAGTAGTAAGGCACGTTTGTGCGTGTTTTCACAGTATGATAAGCCGAAAAACGGTGAAGATTTGAAGAGGATGCTCAGTGATACTAGACATAATTGTCACAGGGTTTTTAGTGATTTGAAGGAAGCTAGAGTTAAAACAATTTGTGCTGGTAAGATTTTATTTTTTTAATTTTAGAGAATTTTTAAAAAATTTAAATTTTTATTCCTTCACCATTTTGTCAATAAAGTACTTTAATTTTTAACGGAGAAATTATATTAATATAAAAACGATATAAAAATGAGGCTAAGATAATAAATAAATAGATTATATATGGAATTGGAGTCATAAAGTGATTAAAATCGGCACACTGAAAATTTTAAAAACATAAATTCAAAAATTCCTTCACATTATGTAAAAAAAAATGTTTTTTGGAAAAATTAAACATTATTATAGATTCAGATGTTAATATAGATATGTACTACTCTATACTACACCTTGGCATACATACGGAATCTTCAAGAATTAACAGAGAAATAACAATGAATTTAAAGTAATTTTTTAATTTTTTTCCTTCACCATTTTGTCAAAAAAATTCCTTTGTTCATAATCTAAGCCAGCTTGTTTTTCTGTTTTATTTTTGCTATTTTTATTCCTTTCAGACAATAAAGGGCGTCTATGAACTACTTTAAACGCCAGTAAAAACATTTTTATGCAAAAATTTCCATAATAAAGAATTAAAATTAATATTTTTGACTCATTTTTCAATATATTAATTTTTATTACACTTTTTCTAGGTATATTCGATTTAGTAGGAAGAACATGGTCTCTATACTCAGACAGACCCATTGACAACGACCCTCTAGTTGTCCTGCCACTGGATATTAAAAAATAAACTAATTCATGTATAATATATATTAAAAAAAACTAGTTCCTTATTTACAAAATAAATTTTATCATTGTCGAATAAAAAAGACAAGCTATATTTAGTCAAAACAAGCTATTAGAATATGAAATACAGAGTAATAAGTTAAAAAACAAATTGTTTTAATTAATACAAATGTTAGAGTTAATTTCATCAACTCATATACAAAGTTTTATTAATATTTGGTTAGAAAATCTTAAGAATAAAGTTTAATGCAGTTTAATAAATCTATTTTTAACTGGTTTTTGATTATAACCCACAATTTCCTCCTGGACATCCACCACCATACACCGTGGGTGGATTTATGTCACTGATAGTACGGAAATTTGAACCTCCTGGTTTCCCTGGCCTAAAAACATTAATTTTACATTAGTTATTGAGCATAAATCATACAAATATCGCTGTTGTTTACTTATAAGGTCCATCACCACCTCCTCCTCCATATCTTCCTGAACCTCCACTAGATCGTCCTTTCAAGCCTCCAGAATTAAACCCAAACATAGATGTAAAGCTAAAAACCATTTAGACAATATAAAAATACCAAATAAATTTAAAAACAAACTTACAAGAATATAAATCCACTAAATAACCCGAAAATCAGATTGTATACTCTCTCATAAACTGGGGGTTTCTCACAAACTGTCCCATCTGAAAGAAAGTATCAATTAATACGTTAAATATTAGTGTTTCTTGATAAAAACTAGACTTGCCTGATTTGATGTACACCATTTTGAGTTTATTGATGAATTTTTACAGGAATTGTAGCTGTTTGAATACGTTTTAAAGTGAATAAAAGTCCACGTCAGAATTTGTTTTATTTACATCGGCCATGTTTTTTGTGAGAACTGTCAAAGTTATCAGCTGTGCGATGTAGGAATGGTTAGAAAGATTCAAACTAGAGATGGGCGATAGATTTTGAATTTTTCCAACATAATGAATTAGAAAAAAGTTTTTTTTTTCAGTTTTCATAGTATTATTGAATCGAGTGGATTGTAGTATCATATTATTTGTTTCTAAGAAAGGTAGGTATGTGGTAGACTCTCCCGACATTGTATCTCTCCAAAAAGTTTATATTTCGTTTGTATCAGTACTATATCCTTCCAAATAAGCTTTCTTTTTTACGTTATTAGTAGTCTACTGACAATAGCTTCATAGTAAAACAGATTATGGGTTTCCATTCTTCACTATAGTCTAAAAATTTATCGTGTCCCCGTTTCTTATTGAGTGATTACTCTACGTACAGTCTCAAGGCTTTGACAAAAGCCAGTATCTGAGACGGTTTTACAGAGGTTACTTCTTCATCTCCGATATCACTCGTACCAAAGATTATGGCACCAATGCTTGTCGTCTAGGCGCACTTAGTGATGAAGTGTTCTAGTGTTTCCCCATTTTCCCTAAAGAATCTGCATTTGCCGTTGTTTCTTAGCTTCAATCTAGTGAGGTGTTCATCGTATCCTGTTAAATACATACAATACAATAAATAACATCATAAGCCTGTACTAACACTAAAGGAAGATCGGTGCTTCCCTGTGGTTTATTTTTTTTCTTTTGGGGAAAAAAGCCGGCAACGCCGCGGTCGAGGTCCGATGCACGCACTCCGCCACTGAGCCACATGCGGCGACTTCGATCGCGTGCGCTGCAGCGTCGTGCCCGTCGAATCGCGCAGTTGGCCATGCGTTTTTTCCCGGCCGAAGAACGTGTTTTGTTTTCGAGTTTGAAAACCGGCGTTGCCGCACTTCCGTAATTTTCCGCGGTTGCCGGGAAATCAATGAAAATAAAATGAGTTTATGGCGTTCTAAAGTTTGTTTTTAATCGTTGCTCGTAATATGTAATGTACTTATTGGGGTTTGAGATGGAAATTTAGTTGGAAAATTGGAATAGAATATTTTTGAAGGAAAAAATTGAGATATTAGGCGGTGGTGTCAAATGAGTAATGAAATTTCGCTGAATATTGTGTTAGTTGTTAGTGATATTTTTATAACGTAATAATCAACAGAATTTTAATCATTATTATTTTTAGTATTTGTAAATAGATACATTTAAAAACCGTTTAAGCTTATTTTTATGTAGTTTTTATCACATATTTCTTAGATGAATCACTTAAAAACATTTGAAACCTTGTAAAGTTAATTATAATTGAGATACACAGGGTGAGTCTTAATAAATAAGTGTAAATCTTTTTAGAGGTAGTATATTTCGACCCCAGAAACAAGATTATAAGTTTTTTCGGGAAAAAAAATTTGAAAATTTAGTAATTTTTGAAAAAACATAATTTCTTGATAATATGGCAACATGGCTAGTAGATTAAATTTAAAGGAAAGAAAACCCAGAAACTATTCAGTGGTTCTCAAAATTTAAGCAAAAAATATTTTTTTTGAAAATTTTCAAAGTAAAATAACTCTGTTATTTTGGATTTATTTGAAAAACGGTAAAGAGGAAATATATTTCTTTTGTCGAGATCTACCAGCCCTGAAAATATTTGCATTTATTTAAAACTCATCCTGTATAACAAACTAAATATAACAAATGCAACATTCCAAGAGTCTTGGTTTTGATCTTGCTCAAGTCTTGCATTGTTTCGCGTTTTTTTGCAAGACCAATACCAAAGCCTCAAGACCAAGTCCAAGAACAGTATCGCTCATCACTATTTACTATATAAAAAAATAAATAAAACAATAAAACTTAAAACTAGTTAATATTAAAAGAAAAACAGAAAAAAATATATAAAAAATATCAGAAACAAAAAAAATTACGTTATTATATAGAAAAACAAAATAAAAACAACTTAAAAAATATATAATAAATATAGAAAAAAATCAGAAATAAATTAAACAAAAAAAACAAAGATAATTATAAATTAAAAAAAATATAAAGAATTTGAATTATGTTACTACATAGCAAAAATAAAATAAAATAATATAGATAATAAAACAGAAACAAATCAGATAAAAAAATACATAGTAAAACAGAAGTAAATACAGAAAAAAAGGTATAGTATAAATATAAGTAAATTTTACTCTATAGGAAAAGTAAAAATTGAAAACAACTTAAAATAGACAAAAACTGAAATAAATACAGAAAAAATTCAGTCAAAAAATATATCAGAAAGAAATTAAACAGAATTTTTTTTTTTACCACCCTTAAATTTTTCTCCCTAAATCTCGTTCTTTCATCCCCCCTTTGGCAACGTCGCCTTGCAGCGCGCTCCGAACCGCTCCACGCGAGCCCCGTCGCGAGTTCCGAACCGCGTCTCCGCCGCCAGTCGACGCCGACGACGACGGCCACCCAGACACGTCACGAGCACCAACTCTCCTAACTGACGATATACCGGCAAACCCGACGCTACAGTGCTCTATTGCCGCGTTCACACGTTCACCCGACAAAAACGGACACCCTAACAAACCCCCCGAGTGACGTTTGATCTTACCTGACCGCGCGAGAAAAAGAAAAACGGGAAAAAACGGCGAATTTTTCCACTGTTTTGTTTTTGCCGCACGCGTTTCCCACCAGACGTGCGTCCGTGCTTGAATCATCCGAAGATGCCGGTTTACGATAATACCGTAACGCCGTGCGGTTCGCTATGAGTGTACCGGAGATGTTTTCGTAAGGTTTTTCACCCTTAGTTTCGCGTGTGATCGCGTTGTTTTGTTGTTGTTTGTTTGTTGTTCTTGTGATATCTCTCTCTGTATTAGTATTATTTATCGCTCACTCGGCAACAATGGATATTCTGCCGAGCGTGGACATCTTCAAGGAGCTGCAGGACATCCACGACACGGGGTTTTTCACCGCGAAACCCAGCCTGGACGACCACTGGCAACAGGTAATTAGTCTTGCCTAAATACTCTATTATTTACCTTCTTCAATAACCGGCGAGATCAGTTTCAAAACATTTTACCGCATGGGAAACATTTGGTGCAAGATTTTATCGATGTGATAAGACTAGAACATCTGTAGAGCATTTTAAAGGCATTCTAAAGATGTTACTGCTATTTAAAGGTAATTAATTATCCAAAATAAGTTGTGAAAACAGTTTTAAAACATATTTTACCCCATCAGAAACATTTAGTGCAAGATTTTATCGATGTGATAAGACTAGAAAATCTGTAGACTATCTTGGAGGCGTCCTAAGAATGTTATTGGTATTTAAGGTTAATTAAAAGACCAAATACTGTATTTATCTTGTTCAATAACCCGCCTCAACAATTTCAAAAAATATGTTACGCGCTCACTAACGTTTAGTGCAAGATTTTATCGATGCGATAAGACTAGAACAGCCGTAGAGCATTTTAAAGGCATTCCAAAGATGTTACTGATATTTAAGGTAATTACTAATCCAAAATAACAGGTTTAAAAATTATTTTACCGCAATCAGAACCATTTAGTGCAATATTTTATCGATGTGATAAGACTAGAACATCTGTAGAACATTTTAAAGGCATTCTAAAGATGTTACTAATATTTAAAGGTAATTAATAAACCTAAATATGTCGTGAGTACAGTTTTAAAACATATTTTACCGCATCACTAACATTTAGTGCAAGATTTTATCGATGTGATAAGACAAGAACATCTGTAAAGCATTTTAAAGGCATTCTAAAAATCTTACTGATGTTTAGGGTAATTCATAATACAATATAAGATGTGGGAACAGTTTTAAAACATATTTTACCGCAATCAGAAATGTTTAGTGCAACATTTTATCGATGTGATAAGACTAGAACATCTCTAGAGCATTTTAAAAGCATTCTAGAGATGTTACTTATGTTTAGGGTAATTAATAATCCTAAATAAGTTGAGAGAATAGTTCAAAGCATATTTTACCACAATCAGAAACATTTAGTGTAAGCTTTTGTCGATGTGATAAGACTAGAACATCTGTAGAGCATTTTAAAGGCATTCTAAAAATGTTACTGATATTTAAAGGTAATTAATAATCCAAAATAAGTAGTGAGAACAATTTTAAAACATATTTTACCACATCAGAAACATTTAGTGCAATATTTTATCGATGTGATAAGACTAGAACATCTGCAAAGCAATTTAACGGCTTCCTAAGGATGTTATTGTTATTTAAAATTGATTAAAAGGCCAAAATACTCTTATTTATCTTCTTCAATAAGTTATGAGAACAATTTCAAAGCATATCACATTATATGCGGTTCTTGTATACTGCGTGACAAAAACCTAGGGCAATATTTTATCGCTGCGGTAGGTCTGGGAAGTCTGTAAAACACTTTAAAGGTATCTTAAGGTTGTTATTGTTATTTGAGGTTAAACGGCTCGATGGGATTTGTAATCCTATTGAGTTATTTCCCTGATTAGTTTATTGGAAAGTTGTAATTCTGTTGTTTATAGTCTCTGACGGTTTTGTAGCTGTCCAGAAACTGTATGTTTCACATATATATCAGTGCTATATAGTTTAATTAATATTTCTTATAATCTAAGCTCAATCGATTTAGTGTAGATAATGATAATAGATAATTATTCATAATTTTTTTTGTCAAAACCTGTATGTGATAGTCTCTCCCGACTTTGTAGCTCTCCAGAAACTCTATATTTTACATGTATCAATGCTATACGGTTGAAAAGTAGTGTCTTTTTCCGTTCCTCATAGTCTACATTCGATCGGTTCATTGTAGAATCCATCATAGCTTCATATTCATAGTTTATTAAACAAAACATGCATGCTGTAGTCTCTCCCGGCTTTGTAACTTTCCAAAAACTCTATATTATACATGTATCAGCACTATACAGTCCCAAAATAGTTTCATGTTCCATTCCTCATAGTCTACTCTCGATCAGTTTACTGTAGACTCGATCATAGTTTCACATTCATCGTTTATAGGGCAACGCACGCAAGAACAAGTCTCTCCAGGCTTTGCAGCTCTTCAGATACTTTGTATTTCACATGTATTACTGCTAAAGTAGTTGGTTTTTTGTTCATCATAGTCTACACTTGATAAGTTTGTTGTAGAATCGATAATTGATTCACATACATGATTTATTGGGCAAAACATGCATTCCGATACTATATCGTTCTAAAAAAGTGTCTTTCTGGGATCCTCATAATCTACACCTAGGTCTACACTTAATATATTTATTAAAGATTAGAGTGTAGCACTATTAAGCTCTTTGAAGCTCTTAATAGTGTGTCTATGTTCGATTTTTTTGCTAGACAATTTTTTTAGACTCTTGTAGGTCATTTTAAGTCAATATATATACTCACTATACCAATTGCATGTATTAAACTCTGCAATATATGTATAAAAAGACTTTTTTTAAAGTATCATCGCCAAAATATACAGCATCACCCGTTATCTCAACACAAACCAAGGTGTTTATATTTGCATAACTTCATCTTAGGTCCAGCTTTCTAAAAATCAAACCGGTATATAAAAGTTATTCTACCTGCTATGTTGGTGGTACCACAAAAAATCCCAATTAAAAAAAAAACGATGTTGTTTATACCATATAAGGGTAAAAAATGCATCCCATCAAACCATATTCTGAAAAATGTGAAATAATACTCTTTGGTAACTTTAAAATAAAGATGTACAATAAATATCGTGACCGTACAGGGCGAAATATCAAAAATGGCCCATTAATAGCCTTGTACAAATGCTAGAACAGGTAGTTGGAACATTAATAGCAATGAAAATTGTCGGCTAAATAACGTTACGGGTTAATTTGGATTATCTGCTTTGGTATTCCGTTTCTAAATATCTCTATTATAGAGATGCGTGAAATAAACATGTATACGCACATAACCGCACTATACCCTGCAGAATAGTAGAATATATTTTACCAATAAACAATAGTAATAGACTTTTAACAATTTCAATTTTTTCATCTATCATCTTTATGTATTTGAGGCATCAAGCTGCAAAACGCTCATTTATAACTCTTAAATATAAAAAAATCTGTTTTTACCTAAAATTAAGAAGCCTCAGTGTAGAGATCATAACTTTCAAAATATTTACTTGAAAACAATCTTGTCTTTCTTACAAGAAACTGCTAGTAAGACAAATTTTTGTTAAAGAGTTACTGAAAATTTTCTGTAATGCACTAGCTTGATTATACAAAGTTAAAACACGAGTCAAAATATAACAACATTATATATGTTTCATCTAATTAAATGAGACCAAAATAAATAATCTGTTTATTTATTACTAACAAGCTGAGATAACCGAAATCACATTTCACGCTTCATTTGTCGAAAAAATAATTATGAACATGGAAATATTCAAAACATGATTAATATAATATCTACACTGAAATACATTAGTTGATTTTTCATTTTTCATAGTAATTTATTTGCTTTTCTTCATATTTAAGTGAATCCTTTTCGGTTACTTTTTGTTAGATTTATATCAAGTATGTATTTTTCTATTACTCTGTACTAGAGGTGGGCAAAGATTGAACGAGTCGTTCATTTGAATCGTAGCCAGCACGGATCCATAACATTTAAACAATGAGCTGTAAAAAAGAGTCTTTAGAATTGAATCGGATTACAATGCGATAGTGCGTTCAAAAAGTCGTGAGGATTGATTCATTACTTACAATATGGTTCGTTCAATTGAATCGTGGCCAGCACGGATCCATACGATTTGAACGATGAGCTGTAAAAAAGAATCGTGAAAAGTGAATCGGATCATATTGCGATCGTTTGTTTCTAGGGATCGTTCATTCAAAGAATCGTGAGAATCGAATCATTGCTTACAATACGGTTCGTTCAACTGAATCGTGGCCAGCACAGATCCATTTGAATGATGAGCCGTAAAAAGGAATCATGAGAATTGAATCGGATCACAATGCCATCGTTCGCGATATAAGTATAGAGTTCCAATATTTTTCAACGACTTTCCGTAATCAAACATCATGGGCATGAACTGCAAACGATAAGAAAGTTATTTACAAGAAAAAAACTTATTTATACTGTGCTTAGTACGGGAGTATCTGTAAGGTATTTAATTTTCACGTTAATATTTCTGTTAAAATAATATTACCGACCGGACTAAACGACGAAATCGTGGTTTTATGCAACTCCAAATAAATATTGTTGGCGTCTGCTCAATATGATAAAAAAAACGGCGTCAGCGATGGTTATAAAATGAAGATCGCTGTCATTTTATATGTAAAATTATATGGGGAATGTCATCGATGTTCATTTCGAAGCCAACTGGACGCCATTTTTATTCGATCATGCAGTATATAGGTATACTATTTATTATGATTATTAAATCGGAATTAAAATATGGCTCTAAAAATATTAAATTGGTATTAAGTCTTTAATAAATAGTATATATGTATGAATTGGATTGATAATTTAATATTATTGGTAAAATAATCATTCCAATTACGCCAGTGTCAGGGACTGTTGAAAAACAAATGAAAGAACTATATATTTCTTTTTCTGGTCGCTTAAGTAATTGTCCGGCCAATTTATCGCCGATAGTGCCGTTACTATTCTTGTTTTTATGAAACGTAAATTGTCCATGTGGTTCGTTCAAATGAACGAATCGTAGGAGTCGATTCAATATGAGAAATTAAATCGTGTGGTTCATCACTGCCCTGTACAACTCTACCATTTATCATTAGTAAGAAGATTCAACTAAATACCTAATACTTAATACTAAATTTATGCATTCATTATTATTATTAAGAGAGGGTAGGTACCTAATACAAAATGAACTAATGATAACTGAGGTAATTTAAAACTAAATTAAAATTTATTTCTTTTTCATTTCCCTCCAGACTTATACAACCCGACCTAATGGAACCGATCGGGCCAAAAACACTTAACACTAATCTAATGACCTT